AGGCAGCATTGCACTTGGGGCATTTCCGCTGGCGGGTGTCGTAGCGGGTCTTGACGCAGTCGAAGCAGAAGACGTGGAAGCATTTGGTGAGAACGGCGTCCTTCTTGCGCGTGTTGCAGCAGGGACAGGTGAGCTTAGCCTGAGGAGGTGCACAGACCGCAGTGTGAGGGGCTGGGGCGTTAGCAAGAGCTTCCCTTAACTTACAAACCTCCTTCTCCTGCTCTCCTCACCTTGTACTCCTTGATCTCCTCCTGTAGGATCTCATCGGCATCTGCATACACCTCCACTTTGCGCTGCTTTTCCAGTTTGCGCCGAAGGCGAGAAATGTCCTCCTGAGAACAGCAGGCACATCAATGAGTCGGGGAGAGGGAAGGGGAAGCGGGGTGGGGAGAGGTACCATTTATTTGTTTGCTTGCTTGTTTATTAAATTTATAGGCTGGCCATCTCAATCAAGTGACTGGATGGCGCACAACAGCATAAAACAAGGATAAACAAACATTACAGTATTAGAAAAACATTTAAGATTAACAAGGAATTGGGAACCTGGGTAAACTAGGAACCAGAAGATGAATGGATAAGGGTGGGATGTTAATCCACTAACAAGCTCCGGGATGGAAACCACACACACACACACACACACACACACCCAATGATAAACCATGGCTGCCTCCTCAGGAAAAGGTGCCTCAACTCATCAGCATCCATTTTTAGATGGGGAGGGCCCCCTGCCCATATTCATCAAGATTGTAAAATAATTATTTGACTCAATAGTTGTGCAACCTGAGAACTTGGGACTTCTGAAAGCAATGACTTGCTTTCAGTTGCAGACCTCTAAAAAAAGTTGTGAAATTGTAAGATTCTTTGGAGCGCACAATGAGAAAATTATTAGAAGTATGGCTGCGGAGAATCAGATCTACTGTATCTATTTTTAATTAAGTGTCATTTGTGCATCCCTCACTGTCAAGTAGCTCTCTGAACTCTAAAGCAGGGGTCTTCAAACTTGGCCCTTTTATGACTTGTGGACTTCAACGCCCAGAATTCCTCAGCCAGCGTGCCTGGCTGAGGAATTCTGGGAATTGAAGTCCACAAGTCATAAAAGGGCCAGGTTTGAAGACCCCTGCTCTAAACCAAGGTTTCCAAACCTCGGCAACTTTAAAGACGTGTGGATGTCAACTCCCAGAATTCTCCAGCCATTTGTTGGGTAATTAACAAGAAATTGGGAACCTGGGTAAACTAGGAACCAGAAGAAGGAACCAGCTGCCAAAAAGACCAACACAGTGCTAGGCTGCATTAACAGAGGGATAGAATCAAGATCATGCGAAGTGTTAATACCACTTTACAATGCCTTGGTAAGGCCACACTTGGAATACTGCATCCAGTTTTGGTCACCGCGATGTAAAAATGATGTTGAGATTCTAGAAAGAGTACAGAGAAGAGCAATAAAGATGATTAGGTGACTGGAGGCTAAAACATATAAGGAACGGCTGTTGGAATTGGGTATGTCTAGTTTAATGAAGAGAAGGAAGAGGGGAGACATGATAGCAGTGTTCCAGTATCTCAGGGGCTGCCATAAAGAAGAGGGAGTCAAGCTATTTTCCAAGGAGCCTGAAGGCAGGACAAGAAGCAATGGATGGAAACTAATCAGGGAGAAAAGCAACCTAGAACTAAAGAGAAACTTCCTGACAGTGAGAACAATTAACCAGTGGAACAATCTGCCTCCAGAAGCGGTGAATGCTCCAACACTGGAAGTTTTTAAGAAGAGACTGGACAGCTATTTGTTCAAAA